CGAATGGCCAAGGGAGGGCGCACATGCTCTCACCCAGACTGTCCACCAGGTGGCGCCAAGGGAGAACTTTCAAAATTTAACGTCTATGAGCCAAGGGAGCTGGAGTCGACCTGGTTAAAGCAGGGGGCCCCTGTTGCCAGTTTATTCGATGTTCAGTCCAAAGACCTGAGGCTCTATCACTCTTCACCTTGCCTCCTTCATCCAGATGTTCATCAAAAACAGGTGGCAAAGAAGGGGGCACAGTGATCCTACCCGTACTCAGTCAGGTAGCAGTAAAGTCTATTAAGCCGTATGTTTGGTTCTAGCAGTAAAAGGGGCCTTCCGGGAAATCTGCCCTTGAAGAATGGAAGCAGGCCAGGAGAAGGTCACAGCCCCCTCTTAGAGGTGGTGGGGGCCTTGTGGCTCCTTGGGGTGCAGCATGACCCCGGGTGAGTGGCTTTCAGGCAAAACCTCCACCTCTCGCTGAGCCAGGTGAGGGCAGGGATGGCACTGTATCCGACTGCTAAGGCACTGAAAAACCGGTCAGGCTGAGGCTTTTAAGGTTGCTTCTCCCACAAGCTTTCCAGTCCACGGGGAACACTTCATGGTGTTTGTAGGACTTAGGACCTGGGACGGAGTGTAAACCACCCATGGAGCTTCCTCTCAGGTCCTGCAGAGGGAGTGCAATTCCGTGGGGACCTGCCCAGCAGAGTTTCAGGGCCAGAGCTGTGAGGCCCTTGGGAACAGCTGGGACAACTCTCCATGATACAGATGACTCTGCTAAGGCCAACAGAGGGTCAACAGCTCACTCCAATGCAAAATACTACAAAATAGCCAGGCGTGGTGGTGCACACCTGTAATCCCAGCACTTGGAGGCTGAGGCAGGAGGATCACTATGAATTCAAAGACAACCTGGACTACATAGCAAGACCCCTTCTCAAAAAAAGGGGGGGGGGATTTAGCTCAGAGGTGCCACTGCCTGCCTTGCAAGCTCAAGGTCCCGAGTTCAATCCCTGGTACCAAAAGGGGGGCACAAAAATACTACAAAATTAAAAATCTTTATTATAAAATGTGTCCAGGGTATACTATTAATAGAAAAAAAGAAGACAGAAAATGTCTAATTTTCCATCATCTGCACAAAGAAAAGGAAGAGAAATTAGAATATTTGGATTTGCTCATAGTTGCAAAACTAAATTCCACAAGGATGGAAGACACTAAGAACAGTAGCAGCAGTGTAGGACAGGTTAGAGGAACACGGGCAGGGACCCACGGCAAGGTCCGGATGGCTGACAATCGTAGAAGCATCACCTGCTTATCTGTGCACCATGTAGAGAAAATGTACCCTACTGTGCCCTTATGACCATGTCACTCCCATTTCCTGTATGCTGACTTTGTCCCCTTCCCAGCAACAAAGGCTAAGACCCTGACTGGCCCAGCCCTCACTAATCAACAAAAGCGCTTTACCCCTGTAAGCCTGGGCACACCTCATGCTCACCGGCACCCTGAGCGGAACAGCCTGTCTCGCAGCACCGTTCTGCTGCCAAGAGAGTTCTCCTTCTGCCTTCTCTGCATTCGCCACACTTTAAATACACTTTCGCTTCACACTATACCAGTTTTGACTGGCCCACTTTCTTCGCTGGAGTGAGGGCAAGGACCCGAAGAGCAAAGAGCAGTGGGGAGTCACTCGGAGATCCCCTGCCAGATGCAACAGCAGGATGGAGGGGGTAGGTGCATGGTGACATGGAGACGGGAGGGAATGAGATGTGTGTATTGCATACATGTGTGTACGGCTTGGTCTTTGAGACATGCAAATGCATTACCTAGAGACTAGGCTCTTTAAAGGAGGTGGCCCAAGATCATGAGGTGGCCCCTTGGTGGTGGGCGTGGAGCACTCTGGGGGAGTGGGTAGGAGATGCTGAAGACAACTCTCGAAGAGCCCGGTTTATGCAAGAGAAATCCATACCCTCCCTTCTTTCCCTCGGTCTTCGGAATCCATCCATGAGTGTCTGGGTGAGGTGCTAGTGAGTCTTCAACACCCCCTTCAGTCCTTGTAAACTGATTTTTTAAGCAAAGAAAGCAGATATCAGACCTAAAGCTTCAACAGCTGCAGCCACTAGGTGACCAGGGCTGCGCTGGGTTTTTTTGTACAAATCCCCACTGTGCATACTAAGTGATGCTGCCGTTCCCTTTACAACAGTGATGCGACACTTCCTTAAAATAAATTAAGAAAAATGCTGTTTTTAAAAGTAAATCCTAATACCCTTGCTTTGTGATATGGTAACATTATCAAGTGCAGACCTGGTGCCTGAAGTAGCTGTTTCCAGTGAGTTAGTGAACTTGACCCTCCCAGCCGCCGTAAGGGGCAGACAGGACTGGGAGGCCCAGGGAGAAGGCGGGATGTGCCCAATAGTGACAGGAGAGGGGGCGAGGACTGAACTGGTACACTCAGCCTCCAGCACGGCCCTACACCCAGAGGGACAAAGCTGGTGGCAGGGTGAACGTGGATCCCTCTCCAGCTCTGGCCCTGTGCCACCTCTCCCTGGCAGTTGCTCTGAAGTTGATCTTGGGCTTCCTTCTTTCCAGCTCTGGGTCCCTGGAGCCATCTGGTCTCAGCTCCCTCCACCTCCACACCAGAGCCCTCTAATCTGGGACCTATCACCAACTGCTTCCCGAACTTCCTCTCCCAGCAGCACGAGGAGGGGTGCACATGCTCCTCCCAACATAGCCGATTGGACGGCTCGCTCTCCATCTAGTTTGGGCCACACAACCCTGTGCCACCATCCTGCTCCTGGCCTTCTCCGCCATCCGCCCTGCAACGCCCTCCTGGGACCCTTGGTGAGGTAACTGGATTCTCTTCTTGTCATTTGTCAGTTTGCAATGGAAGCATCATGCACGGGGGAAATGCACCCAGGCTGTCTGTGTGCCCAGCTGGCTATGACCATGGGGGTGACTTTCCTCCCCTGACCTCAAGGTGAAGCAGCCACATGGGCAGGGGCTCGGACCACCACCCTAGGGCCTCCCCCTAGACACAGAGGTCCCCAGTTAAGGAACCAAAGGCCTGCTCTGGACCCAGTCCCATGGGCAGCTGGGAGAGGGATCCTTGGAGACCTGGCCAGATCAGAGTCTATTTTGCCTGATCTCAGGCTTGGCATCCTCCTCGGGGAGATGGAGATTAGCTACTCCTCCAAGGCCAGCTGCAGCATGAAGAGGTAGAGCTGAGAGTCACTGCTTGGAACTTGTGGCAGGAAGGACCCAGAGGCTGCTGGTCCCAGAGCTTGGGCAGGAAGAGACACAAGCCAGGACCCCATAACTCCCATCACCACCAGCCCACACAGGGAGGGGGCACTGTCCTTTCTAGCCCTGCAAGGGCACTGGAGGCCTGGTGGTGTCCCTGCTGCTGGTCACCAGGGAGGGAGTACAGGCAGCTCCCCAAGGTGGTCAGGCTGCAAATCCAACCTGACATGGAAACACAGGGCTTCCAGGATCAGCTCTGGAGACGAGCAGAAACCTCCCTTGAATTCTGCACCTTTAGGGGGGATGAGAATACAACCCCCAGTCTGGAGTCTGTGATACTGCAGGAGGCTCCTCCTAAGCTTCCCTTGAGTGTGCCCACTAGGCCGAGACCACGCGGAGTGGAGATGCTGCCGCACCATCTGCCAGGGCAGGTGACAGCTTCCTGAGGGACCTTCGGACCACAGGTGGAGACACAGCCGCCTGAACTCCCACCTCTGCCCAGGTCAGGATCAGGCCTTCCTTGCCCTCAGACCCCATCTGGAAAAGGGCGGCAGAGGAAGGGTCAGCATGCCCCAAGGGACCTGGGGAAGGCAGGTGTCCCAAAGGGTCAAGAGGACAGGCCCTGCCCAGGCTCCCAACCCAAGTCAACCAGAGTCACCCTGGCAGGTCTGGAACTCAGCCAACCCTGAGAAACGTCCCTTCTCATCTCTACCAGGCTAGTTCTAGCATCCTGCATGGGAGGAAGCAACGGCGGCCCCTCCTGCCACACTTGCTGCTCAGGAGCCCAGGGAAGCTCTCCCTGAGCACCCAAATTCCCCTCAAGAGTGTAGGCATTGGGAGTGGGAGCTGAAGTCCAGAGAGACAAGCAGTTCTCAGCCATGAATCTGTGGACTCCCAGCCACATCCCTTTGGGTGTTTCTTACATTGAGTGTGTGCTGCAGCTGGGAAAGGGGAAAATGAAAGGGACGCCCAGAACAGAGAGACCGTGGAGGGGAGAAGGAGGTCTGCAGGAATTTATGGTCCGGGACAGCAGTGGGCACAGGGCAGCACGATGCCACAGGGAACAGCTGGGGGACCAGCCAGGCCCCCAAGAAAAGCCCAGCACCCCCTCCCCTCTACACTCATCATTAAAGGGAACACATGCCAACTGCCACCAAGAGACAGAAAGAACGGAGTCCTATTTTGATGCCACAAAGCTCGCCCAGGAATGTCTGTGATAAAGGCCACCAGGCCCCCAAGGGCAGCAGGGGACACAGGGGCCATTCTCTCCATCCTCCCCGGAACAACCCTCTAGAGGAACTGACAGGGGCCCAGAGACCTGGGGCAAGGCAGGCACAGTCCTCGGCTCACCAGTGTCTCTCTGACCCCACACAGATCTGGGGTTTGCGAGCCTGACCCAACCCAAGCCCTTCTCTCACAAAAAGTGGGGCTCCCTCACCCCACATGTGCCTTCAAAGAGTGGTGTGTGGTGGCCAGGGCTCAGGAGAGCTGCAGGAGGCTGAGGGATGCTGAGCAACCCGACAGGTGCTCCCCACGGAGCTGATCTTCAAGGCCAAGACCTCAGAGTGAGGCCAGAAGTTATCCAACATCAGGCAAGGGGGCTGCGCCAGACTTCACCTGCGCCTCCCCTTGAGCTCCCGGGTTCTGCTGAGAAAACCTTGCAGAAACCCTCTCCCATGTCCAGTGCCCACTGCTGCCCGGCTCCCCTACCCAGCCTCTCCCAAACCACCCTGTCTTCCAGAACCATGTGGCCCTGTACGATTATTTACCAACTCCTTTCCATGGACTCATTTTTACTTAAATCTATTTATTGAAACGTCACAATAAATAGAACCCACGCAAGAACCCTTTGTCATAAATAAAAGGTAGCCAATAAAAATACATCATTAAAACAAAACAGTGCTATAAAAGTCTGGAAACTTCTCACATCTGCCCTAAGCCCAGTCCTGCCCCCTGGTAAAGGGCAGTCAGCTTGAGTTACGAGGATTCACAACACATTGGCACCAAGTTGACTCTCTTCTCAGCATAAAAGGATTAAAGGGAACTGGAAAGACAATTTTTTTCTTGCTCTGGGTTTGTGCCTCTTAGAGGCCTGACACCACCTGAAGACATCTCCAGACAACCAGAGTACCCGCCCCATCCTTTGGGATGCTGGGCTAGAGTCTACCTCTGTGCCATGCTTAATATAATGGGGAGACCCACACCCAGGGCTGATTGCACCTTCAAGGCCCACCAGGTCCCCTCCCCACGTGCCTGCTCTCAAACCAAGGCCCAGCAAGTCCCTTTCAATACGCCTGTCCCGTCAGCCCCGGACGTCACCGCTGGCTCAGGTGGGACACCAGGTACACGAGGCCCACCAGCAGGAGACCACGAACTCCGAGCATCATAAGCAGGAAGAGCAGCAAGATGGAGGTCACAGGCTCCACAGCGTGGTTTCCCAGATGCCACTGGGGGAAGCCCATGTTCACCAGCTGCCGGTTGAGGTCATTGAAGGGGGACTGGGCGGCACCCAACCTGGCGCCTGCCTGCTGCTGGCGGGGACCAGGACCCCCATGGGGGGCACCATGGCCCCTGTTGAGAAAGCCCTAGAAGGCGGAGACAGAGAGATGAATGAATCCAGAAAATGGTTCCCCAGGGTTGAGGACCAGCCAGGAGGAAATTTGGGGGCCCTGCCCTCCCCTACAGCATTCCTACACCCTTTCTTCCTTCCTCAGCAACCCCAGGGCCCCCCTCCCCCCAGGATCCCAACAACTGAGCCACAGGCTCTCAGTGCACAGAAAATGCCAGTCTATATTCCCTACGCCCAGGGAGAAGGTGTCAGGACAGAGAGGAGAGGAAGGGACTGAGCAGGGAGGACTTGGCATGGGCACAGCCCTTAATCCGCTTCAGCTTCTCTCCCACCCAAGAGACTCTTTAAAGAAAGACTGCTCCAGCAGGGTTTGCTAACCAGGTTCAAGGAGAGAGCTCTTGGGTTTGAAGTCTGGGGAGGCTGACTGGAGGAGGGAGAGCGGGGGAGGCAGGGCTAGGCAATATACCCGCTGCATTTCCCCAAGTCTTGATTCGGCTCAGCTCTCAGCAGAGGGTTTCAGGCTACAGAAGGTTCATGACCAGCAAGAGACTTCTGGGAGCACAGGGGGCAACCAGGTCAGGAGGCCAGGTGCTCCCCTGCCCCAGGGACAGGTGCCTACCTGCCTCGGGGTGCTCCCCCTCTGCGGGGCAGTGTTCCTCACTCGGGGGTCATCATCCTGAACGATTTCCCCGTTGGCCAAGATCCGCACCATCCTCCCAGGAGCTGCGGGTCCCTGATGGGCAGCACCTGCAAAGCATGGCCAGGTGGGGGACAGATGGAGGAAGCTAGGTGGCCCCCTTCCCCAGCAACCCTTAGCTCTTAGTGATTTGTGCCCAGGATCATGAAGGCCATGGATGCTTCAAAATGCCTGGGGGAAACAACCTGAGATTGGGAGCTGCCTGCTTTCAGTGGTGCCCACCTGAGCAGGTGGTGTCTGATTCATAAAGGGGAGAAGTAAATACTTGTTGTTTGCCACAGGAAAATCCTTCACGGGGTCCACTGGGACACTCCCGATAGGATCCTTGGAGAAGGGTGTTTCACCGCCAGCCACCATGCAGCAGCAGGCCCCATGGGAAGTCTAGCGAGGCCCCTCACCTGGGCCTCGCCAGCGGCTCTGCTGTGGGCACCTGCACAGCACCCGAGCTCCTGGTAGCTTTCAGGGAACCTCTCACCTCTGGGCAGCAGAGGCAGTAAGAAGACGCTGGACGCTGGCTCTGAGCACTAACCAGGGCATCCGGGGCACTAGATCCTTCAGGGCGCTCCCCCGGGGAGCAAACGCTCAGGATCTGGGCCTCCTCCCTGCAGGACCCGTGAAATCCGGGCTGCTCGGGGTCACTCTGTCTACTGCCTGGCGACCACCATTCAGGCCCTGGTGGCTCCGATGGGCAGACTCTGCTGCAGAGGCCAGGCCCCCGCGGTCCCTCGCCTCCCCGATGACCAGTCCAAGCTCTGCTACAGGAGGGGCCCGGTCTTCCGGAAGCGCAGGAGCGGATCTGCGGTGGCGCCCTGGGTGGGGGCCGTGCACGCCCCTCCCCGCGTCCGCGCACAGGCCATTTCCCCGGAGACGGAAGCAGTGTTCATCCGAATTCTCCAAATCACCAGGTCACCCACCCAAGAGGGGTCAGAGCCCCTGCTCCCTCGCCCGGGCTCGGGTTCCCCTTCGCAGCCGGACGGCCCGGGTCCCCCGCGGTGTCTTTGTGCCTCGTCATCAGCCCCTCTGGGTGGCCCAAAGGCGCGCGGCCCTCGGTGCACCCGGCGCGACGCGTGGGCACCGCGGAGGGCGCTGCCCCTGGCCTGGCGCGGGGCTCGAGATCCGCCCCGCCGAGCTAGGAGGAATGCCCCGTTTCCCCGCGCTCCCGGGCTCGGACACCCACCTGCGCGCGGCTCGGGACTCGGCGGCGTCAGCTCCGCCGTTGCGCCGCTCCTCCTCCCTGACCTCACAGGAAGCGGGCGGAGGGGCGCGGCCCGGCGTTGCGACAGCCTCCTCTGCCGGCCGCGGGGGGAAGCGCAGGCTCCGGGCGGGGACGGAACCCGGGGGCGCGGGGTGGGGGTGGGAAAGGAGGATGAGAGGCAGGAGGTAGGAGAAGAGGAAAGGGAAGCAGAGCTCACGGAGGAAAAGTCCAGGGAGTGGGGCGCCCTTGGCCCTGGAAGAAAGGCCACACAGGCTGAGCCCCCTGGTGTGTTTGGGGAGCCGGCTCCATGGGAGCCCCGTGAGGAGACCCAGCTCTGGCCTTCTGGAGCTCCAAGCCCCGCGAGGACTGCAGGTCCAAGCCTGAACGGCCGGCCGGGCAGGTGCAACTGACGGCAGCCGGCTCCTTGGAGGAGGTGGCTTCGGGCTCAGAAAACATTAGGCCGGGAGGAATGATGGGTACACAGGTGTCAAGTGCTGGATCTCAGAGGTCAGGACCAGATCCAGGAGAGTGAGTGTCCAGAGGATGATTGTAGGCAGTTAGGGCTTTAAGTGGCCTTGTGGAGATCCCGGGGTTCATCGTGGCTCAGATGTGGCAGGATTCCTGTGGCCAGGGAACAACAGGAAGTGGGAAAGTTGCTGGATGTGAAAGGTCAGGTACACAGGTGTGAAGGCTGCTGACCTTTATCTATGGACAGGTAAAGGGTGACCTTCAGGATTGATGGAAGCCTTTGCATGGCCAGAAGATTGGAGTGGCCCACAATACCTTGTTTATATGTAAGTCTCCTAAGACCTAAACCCAACCTGAGGTATATCTACTTGGATGCAGGATAAGCTGCTGGGACACAGAGAACCAAACACACAATGACTCAGACAGCTACATGGGCGTCCAAGTGCAGTGGAGGCTCTGCATTACACGACCTGTCTAGGACACACACTGCTCCCCCACACCATGGGGCACTGCCCTTATTGACATGGTCACACTGGCTCCCCAAGTTCTTCAGCATGTGCAGCCACAAAAAGGAGGCGGGAGAGGGAGGACTAGTGGGAGGACTAGTGATTTCTTTTAAAGAAAGTTTGAAGATTTTATTTTGTTTTCTCTTGCAGGATTGAGGATAAAATCCAGGGGCACTCTGCCATTAAGCCACACCCAGCCCTTTCTATTTTCTTTTTCTTTTTTTTTTTTTTAAGTTGCCCAGGCTGGCCTTGAACATGTGACCCTCCTGCCTCAGTCTCCCTAGTAGCTGGACTTACAAGACATTATGTCACTTGCATAACATTGACAAGAGCCAATCATGTAGCCACGGGGCAGCTGTTTCGTTCTTGAAGTCAGTGTTTGTGTCTTTTGTTCTTGCTAGAGGTTTGTCAGTTTTGTTGATCTTTTCAAAGAACCATCTTGTTTCACTGTTTTTTCCATTTCTGTTTTTTGTTTTTTATTTTATTGATTTGTGCTATTATTATTATTATTATTTCCTTTTCCTGCTGACTTTGAGTTTACTTTACTCTTCTTTTCCTAAGTTGAGATGGGAGCTTAGATTATTGATTTGAGACTTCTCTTTCAACATAAACATTTAATGCTATAAATTTCCCTCCCAGTACTCTTTTAACTGTGCCTCACAAATTTTAACGTATTTGTTGTATTTTTGCTTTTATTTAGTTCAACATATTTTTCAAACTTCCTTTACTACCTCCCCTTTAACCCATGGATCACAGAGTATTAGAGTTGAATTTTTACATAAAATTATAAAAACACATATGAAAAGAATTTCAGGATGGTGCTAATATTAGATCTCAGGTTTCTAATAATAGATGTTTAATAAATGCTAGTTCTCTTTTCTCTCTTGAAATATGAACTATTAATGTTGTTTAGTCTCCAAGTTTTTGGAGATTTGCAGCTCTTTTTCAGTTTAATTTCTAATTTAATTCCATTGAGGCCAGAGAATGAACATACTCTGTATGAGCTCACTTCTTTTAAATTTATTGAAATTTGCTTGTGGATATGGTCTATCCCCATGAATTTTCCATAGGTGACAGAAAAATCATGTGTCTCCTGAGCCTTTCCTATGGAATGTTCTATAAATCTCAATTATCTACTGTTGGTTAATGGTGGTGTTCAGTTTTTCTAGGTCCTTGATGATCTGTCTAGTTGTTCTGTCAATTGTTGAGAGGAAGATATTGAAGTCCCCAATATAGTTACAGATTTGTCTATTTCTCCTTTCAATTCTATCAGTTCTTGTTTCTCATATGTTGCAGCTGTTATTTGATATATATTTAGGTTTGATATGTCTTCTTGGTAGACTGACTATTTTATGATATGTAATGTCTCTCTCTGTCTCTGTTAATTTTCCCTGCTTTGAACTCTGTCCTGCTTTTCTTTAATATTCTCATGACCCAACTTTTTCTTTAATTTTACTATGAATTTTCCTGTTATATTATTTGAAATGAGTTTCTTTTGCACTGCACATAGTTGGCTCATGTTTGTTATTTATTTTTATTTTTATTTTTTTCTGATACCGAGGATCAAACTCAGGACCTTGCACTTGTGAGGCAGATGTGGCGCCACTGAGCTAAGTCCCTGGCCCCATGTTTTTTAACTTTACTGTGCTAATCTACCTTTTACTTGGATTATTTTAGACAATTATATGTAATATAATTATAGATATTTTATCACCTTTCCCATTGCAGGGACACAGTACCCAACACTCACAGCCTAAAGGAGGAGAGGTTTAATTTGGCTGACAGTTTCAGGGGGTTCAGTCCATGGTTAGCTGATTTCGAGGCAAAAACATCATGGTGGAAGAGTGTGGCAGAGCAAAGCCACTTAATTCATGGTGGCTGGGAAGCAGAGCAAAGGAACAGTGCCAGAGAGAAGAGGGTGCCAGGGACCATATATAGCACCCAAGATCATACTTCTGTGACTCACCTAGACACACCCAGAAGTGGGCTTTACCAGTCCCCTAGGTGGTGCCCAAGCCAATCAAGTTGACACAATTAAGCTTAGTCACATGACTATTGATATGTTAGAGCTTAAAGCTGCTGATTTGTTTTTTTGTTTCTGTTTTTCATTTCTCTGTTTTCTTTTTTTCTGCGCTGTGGGTTACTTGAACATTCTTAGAATACCACTTTTACTCACTCATGGTATTTTAAAGAATATCTCTCTGATCTGAGCATTGTGGTGCATGCCTAATAATCCCAGCTACTCAGTAAGCCGAAGCAGAAGGATCACAAGCTTGAGGCAAGCCTATGAAACTTAGCAAAAGCCTGTCTCAAAATAAAAATAAAAAGGACTGGGGATATAGCTCAATAGCAGAGTTCCTGCCTAACATACACGAGGTCCTAGGTTCAAACCGTAGTGCCATTTGCCTTAGGAGGAGGGATTAGGGAAGGGATCATCAGGCACCATGACTGACAGAGAAGATGGAAAAAAGCAGTCCCTGAAACAGCCCAAGAACCAGGCCAAGGAGACAGATGAGGAAGATAAGCCTTCCTTACAAAAATAAAAAGAGGAACAGAAGAAACTCTAGGAGCTAAAAATGAAGGCTGTGAGAAGCTCCCCTGGCCATAGATGAAATTAAGAAACCTGACCAAAAATAAACTGTTCTTGTGTCTAAACTGGTAGTGACCCTTGATTCCACTCCTATTTAAACATCTGGATTCCTTGCCATAACATTTTCTGTCTCCTAAAGCTAGAATGAAGTGTTGTCTTGGAGTCTGTTGTACATTTAAGAATTAAATTTTGCTGAATAAATAAATGAATGAATCTCTTTGTATAGTTCATTTAGGGATTGCTCTAGGCATTAAATTATATATGAATAGTTTATCACAGTACTGGTGTCATTGTTTTGGTAGCTGAGTGAAGCATATGAAGCTACTAACATTTATGCCCCTTTACTCTCCCTGTTATACTGTAATTGAGTTAGATATCGCCTCATTCTTAGAATTCCACTTTTACTCACCTATGGTATTTTAAGAATATTTAAGTACATTAGAACCCCATCACAGAGTTATAATTTTCACTTTAACTGTCAAGTATGATTTATAAAATTCAAGGATAGAAGGAAAGCCTGAATTTATCCATATATTTACTTATCACATTCATTTTTCTTTTCTAATGTTCTAAGTTTCTTTCTTTTATTTATTCTCTCAGTTTGAAAATCTTCCTCTAGCCATTCTCTTAGAATAGCCCTCCTGGTAACAAATTATTTTAGTCATTTCCTAGAACTGGGACAAAATATCCAACACCAGCACCTTAAAGGAGAAAAGGTTTATTTGGCTCACAGTTTCCAGAGGGTGCAGTCCAAAGTTGCCAGCCTCCAAGGTAGAAACATGGCAGAAGGGCCTGACAGAAGAAAGCTGCTTACCCCCTGGGAGCCAGGAAGCAGAGAGAGAAGGGAAGACACAGGAGCAAAAATACATGCATTCTTCCAAGTCAGGCCCTCAGTGACCCAGCTCCAACAGCCCCCTTCTCCTGACAGCCATTCATCCATGAGCTCATCAATGAATGAATCACTGGTGAGTATGGTGCCCTCCTGACCCAATCGCCTTCCAACCACATGCAACTTTGAGGGACATTTTAGATCTAAACTGTAAGACTTACCATGTTATTTTTTCCTTCCTAATGTTCCAAGGTTCTTTCTATTGTTTCTTTTCTCTATTTGATGAACTTCCTCTAGCCATTCCCATAGGATAGC